TCTGTTCAAAAGAAGACTCTCTTTCAAGCAGTACATACCAAACAAGAGGAAACGCTTTGGTATAAAGTTATTTGTGTTTTGTGATTGTTACAGTGGTCTTGTATTGGATATTATTGTGTACACTGGAAGTTATACATTGCAAAATACCAGGAAGTTATTGGGCATCTCTGGAGATGTGGTTAGAAGAATGAAAGAACCATACCTTGGTAAGGGGCATATATTATATACTGATAACTGGTACACAAGCACCTCACTCAATGATTTTTTGCGAGTGAACATGGCAGATGTGTGTGGCACAGTGCGTGCAAATCGTAAACATATGCCCAGGTTTGACGCTGGCACTCGTAGACGTGAGGTGCAGGCGTTTGCTGCCAATGACATCATGGCATTTCGGTGGCATGACAAACAAGATGTCACACTGTTGTCATCAGTTCACCCTAACGAAATGACAATCACTGGCAGGCAGCAAAGAGAAAGCAATGAACCCATTCTAAAACCTGCAGCTGTGATTGATTACACCCTCAGTATGCACTCAGTGGACAAGTGTGACATGCAGATTGGGTTTGCTGATTGTGCTTGCAAGAGTTATAAGTGGTACATAAAACTCTTTTTTCATCTTCTGGACATTTCCATGCTCAATGCTTATAATATGTATAAGATGAGGACCAGACACAAACCACCATATGGCAAATTCTGTTTCTGTCATCAGACAAATAGTAATCAAGTACCAAGGAACAACACCTGCAATAGACCACCCACTAAATTATCAACAAGTGTAGTAAATAAAGAGAAAAACTTATAAAATAGTGCTCATATTGGTCTCACAGGCCATAAAAGTTACTTGGAAAAAAAAAATAATAGAAAATAGTACCTAAAAAACAAAATAAAATAATACCGGGTGACGGCAGTCGGTGATGTTACCATATATGGGGCATTTTCTGTCAACTTCACGCCTCCATATCTCGGTAAGTATTGATGGTAAAAAAATTTTGGTTAGCCTATAATGTTTAAAAAAAAAAACTTTTCTTAAGAATTTTTTTTTTTTTTTTTTTTTTTAAATTTGGGCAACCCTGAGAACAAGTCTCTGAGAGAGCCTGGTGACCCTGAAAGGGTTAAGCAAAAATGATAAGAATACTTTATGCTCTTTAACCCTTTCAGTGTCGGTCCCGTTATATCACGGCTTTGAAGCCAGTGTCTGTCCCGTAATACAACGCCATGAGCGTAGCTCACTCAGTTATGCTGTGAGTGGTAAATTTGGGCTTAGATATGAAAGAATGGGTCTATGCAGTAAGTGTGCACTGTATAAAAAAATCCTTTGGTACGCAGTGCATAATGAGAAAAATAACTCGGATCATGTTTTTGGTTTAACCCTTTGAGGGTTTTGGTCGTACTAGTACGTCTTACGCGTAGGGGTTTTTGTCGTACTAGTACGCATAAATTCTAGCAGCCTCAAATCTCGCAGGAAAAGGCTGATAAGCCTAGATGTGAGAGAATGGGTCTGTGTGGTGGGTGTGCGCAGTAGGAAAAAAATCTGGGACCCAGTGGTGCATTGTGGGAATGCCATCATAGTACACAATTTCCACCGTGCCCTGCGGTAAGAAGTTCCTCACTCCTCGGCGAATTGGGACACTTTTGTTCCCCAGTGACAGTTCTAATACAGATGGAAGTGACAGTGAAGATGAGTTTCAAGGTTCTGGTGAGGTTTTGACCGAAACTAATGACCTTTAATATGGGTAATAGTGAGGAAAACCCAGACAACCCACAGCCTTCCACCTCTGGTGCTGGGCCGTCGTTCAGTTGTACCAGAATCAAAGAGGAAACTCCTATTTTCCAAAATCCCAGACTCAGATGTGAGCATTGGTGATGATAATGATAGTGATTATGAACTACAAGCTCTTCAAACTTGTTCCAAGAATGGAGGAGGAGGAGGCAGAGGAGGAGGAGGCAGAGGAGGAGGAGGCAAGAGGAGGAGGAGGCAAGAGGAGGAGGAGGCAGAGGAGGAGGAGGAGGAGGAGGAGGAGGAGGAGGAGGAGGAAGAGGAGGAGGAGGAGGAGGAGGAAGAAGAAGAATACGTAATGATAACAATAATACATAATAATAATACATAATAATAATAATACATAATAATAATAATACATAATAATAATAATACATAATAATAATAATACATAATAATAATAATACATAATAATAATAATAGGTAATAATAATAATATGTAATAATAAATGTTCACCCATGACAGTAACAAGATAAGGGGAGATAACATCTGATAAGTGCTGACGTTTGATGAGGGTAAATGAGGGTAGAGCTGATGCCAAAAGATGAGGTGAACATCGCCCTCCTTTGTTTTTGCTGGTATACTAAAAATTTCTGTCTGTCTATTTGCCTGTCTGTCAAGCTCCCTGTCTATCCATCTAGCTCTCTGTCTCAGAGAGCCACAAGACTGCGTCATCACTTTTACTCACATCTTCAAGCAGAGTATAGCACTTTGTCTGGGTTTCTTGGGTTATCCTAGGTAATTTATACTATGTATACTTGTATTTATGTGTACTGTGAGACAGAGATAGACAGACAGATAGAATGAGGGAGAAAGATAATTAGATAAAATGGAGGAGGGGAAGCAGCATCCGACCCATTGTTTTGACAGGCGGAGGGGGAAAGAGTAATGAGCCAATATGTCACTTTGACAGCTGCCGACTCTTGTAATTTACACTATGGACAAGGAGGAGGAAGAGTAGGGGGAAGAGGAAGAAGAGGAGGAGGAGGGAAGAGGAGGAGGAGGAAGGGAAGAGTAGGAGGAAGAGGAATAAGAGGAAGAGGAGGAGGAAGAGGAATAGTAGGAGGAAGATTAGGGGGAAGAGGAGGAAGAGGAAGAAGAGGAGGAGGAGGAAGAGGAAGAAGAGGAGGAGGAGGAAGAGGAGGAGGAGGAAGAGGAAGAGTAGGAGGAAGAGGAAGAGTAGGAGGAAGAGGAAGAGGAGGAGGAGGAAGAGTATGAGGAAGAGTAGGGGGAAGAGGAGGAAGAGTAGGGGGAAGAGGAGGAAGAGGAAGAAGAGGAGGAGGAGGGTGGAACACTAGTACATTGGTACTGGTACACTAACATTTCTGTCTGTCTATTTGTCTGTCTGTCAAGCTCCCTGTCTATCTGTCTATCTGTCTAGCTCTCTGTCTCAGAGAGCCACAAGACTGTGTCATCACTTTTACTCACATCTTCAAGCAGATTATAGCACTTTGTCTGGATTTCTTGGGTTATCCTAGGTAATTTATACTATGTATACTTGTATTTATGTGTACCTGTGAGACAGAGATAGACAGACAGATAGAAAGAGAGAGACAGATTGAAAGAGATAGAATGAGGGAGAAAGATAAAACACCATTGTGTATGACACCATGTTTCAGAGTTCCACAAGCTGCAGAACTAATAGGAATATGTTCAGTGACTGTATATTGGTATATATATTATAGAACAATAATAATAAACAATGTTTTGTATTGTTTGTTTTTGTAAACAAGTTTTGTAAACAATATATTGATAATTATGTTTGTGTGCTTATTGTGTTGTATACAACGAGTGTATATATGTACATTGCACCTTACTTTGGTCTCATAGGCCATATAAGTTATATGAAAAAATAAAATAGTGAAAAAAACAACAAACCTTCAAATACAAGTAAACTAAAGTTTACCGGGTGAGCGGCAGTCGCCGCTGTTGCCATACCCGGCTCATTTTCTGCAAACTTCATGCATCCATATCTCCGTAAGTATTGATGTTAAATTTTTTTTGTTTATCCTATAATGTTTAGAAAAAAAAACTATTTTTTCATAAGAAAAAATAATTTTTTTTTTTTTTTGAAATTTGGCCGACCCTGAGAACGAGTTTCGGAGAGGGCATGTCGACCCTCAAAGGGTTAAAACAGCAACTTGGGGTGTATTTTCGCTTTTTTTTTTTTTTTTTTTTTATTGTTTTCATTTCGCTTGATAGAATTGAAGATACATTACAGAAATAGAGATGATATTGATTGGTTTTGGGACTGAAAGTAGCTAGAAATTGAGCTCTAAGTAGCAGAAATGTTCAAGAATAAACAGATTGTATCATGCGTCCAATACATATCAACTGATGGGCCTAATATGTGTTCACGAATGCACTGATATTATTTATGCAGTTATTACAATAATGCAGTAGTGTGCATAACAGTAAATCTTCTAATTTTTTGTATGAATAAAAATTCAGAAAGGAAAGCAAGTGTAATATAAGAGGGGCCTAGAGATGTGACTGATGAACAGAGAAAATGTTAGTTTAGAGCCATGACTGTCTGTATTGTTTATTCTGGACCCTATTTTGAAATTGGCTTTTATTGAATTTTGTGTGAAATTGGCCAAATTACGAATTTCTGATCACTTTATTAGGTAGCTGAAATAGGTGAATGGGTAGTTTATTGTACTCAGTTGATAGAAAAAAGGGAGTACTAGCAAATTAGCTACAAGTTTGGTTGATTGCAACAATGGCCCAAAATAAGGCTCAAAGTGGGCGATATCGCTGAAGTGTAAATATCGCAGAGACCGCTAACTTTGCGAGTGTAATTCCGTAAGTTTTCCATCAAATTACTTACTTTTGGTTTCATAACCTTTGGAAAAAGATTCTCTATCGTTTCATAAGAAATTTTTTTCTTTTTTAAATTTTTCAACTGTGAGAGCAAGTTTGCTAGTAGGGGTAGCGACTATGAAAGGGTTAATATTGATTAATAATTTTAGGAACTGCAATTTTACATTGTAATGTACCTGACTAATATCTTGGTTGATCTTCTCAGGCTTTTTTCATGAGGACTGGTAGACTCATTGTCGAAGTTGTCATGGCCAGAAATATAATCGTGCCTGCTGGGAGTCTTCCCAATACATTTGTACAGCTGAAGCTAGTGCCGAGTGACTGGTTCCCAAATGTTGTCGTCTCCAAGACCAAGCCGAAGAAGAGTGGTTCTCCAGTATTTAGTGAGAAGTTTGAATTGTATGTTCTGAGTTTTATTGATATAATGAGTGGTTTGCCTGTTGATGTTACAGATAAAATTCACTAGTATTTTATTAAGAAATTTATTGAGAAATATCAATTCATCTCTTGTATATCACATATTCATGACACTGTAGTTGCAACATACAGAACTACTACTGGGAAAACTGGTTGTGATTGTTTTATACATCAGCCACTTATTAACAAGTTGGGGTTATCCAAAGAAGGAAATGCACTCACTGTCACTTGTGCCTTAGCTAACATGTTTCCTTATATGTTTTGTCTTGCATTTTACAGAAAATATGATTTTTTTTTAATGCATCAATTGTCTTTCACTGAGGTAGGGTGGCCTCCTCATTGCAACATTTAAAACCCATGTTTCACACCCATACAAGAGTGTTGGTCCCACTATACTCTGATCCATTTTCCTTTTTGCCTCCATGCATAACCAGATGGGTTTATGAAGGACACAGTGAACCATAGAATTGATGAAGAAAAAAGGGTGGGTGGTGCATTGAGGTATCTGTGGAGACAGAATGTTATCCATGGAGGAAAAGAAGGGAATGTATGAGAGTAGTGGTATCAACACACTTATATGGGTGTGAAGTATGGGTTGTAAGTACTGCAGCAAGGAGGAGGCTGGAGGCAGAAGAAATGTCATGTGTAAGGGCAATGTGTGGTGTAAATATTATGCAGAGAAGGTGTGGAGTTACTAAAAGTATTATTCAGAGGGCTGAGGAGGGGTTGTTGAGATGGTTTGGTCATTTAGAGAGGAAGAAGTAAAATAAAATGACCTGGAGGATGAATAAATCTATAGTGGAGGGGAGGAGGGATAGGGATCCTAGGAAAGGATGGAGGGAGGGGGGTAAAAGAGATTGTGTGCAAGGGGCTTGGTCATACAGCAGGCATGTGTGAGCATTTTAAATAGGAATGAATAAAGATGAATGATTTTTGGGACTTGACAAGCTGTCGGAGTGTGAGCAAGGTAATATTTTGCGAATGGATTCAGGAAAACTGGTTAGCCAGACTTGAGTCCTGGTGGTGGGAAGTACAATTCCTGCACTTCAAAGAAGGGGTTTGGAGTGACATCTGAACAGTCATGTACTATGCCTGCACTTTACCATTAACCCTTAACTGTGCAAACGTAGATCTACGTTCTTACTACTAGCGCTCCAAACACAGATCGTTTTATTTTTCCTGCCTCCAAATTTGGCATGATTGGCCTGAAATGCCTGGTTAGTATAGACCAGATGTGTACAGTATTAAAAAAAATTGGGACCACCAGTTCAATTGATTGCCAGCCAGAGCAAATAGCATGGCAAATACCAGGTATTCACTGATGTATTTACACTCCCCTTTTAAGAGGAAAGTGATGTTGACCCTGAGTTTAGTGGCTTTGAGATGGATGTGGCCACAAGTGGTAGAGGAAATATCAAAAACCTTGATAATAACCCATATGCAACATTTGTGCAACATCCTTTCAGTTTTTATATCACTGGTAGTGTCATCTTGCCAGAATGTCCTATAAAATATGCTCTGAGTAAAGGGAAACAATTCTGGAAAGTGTGTAATACATGTTCGGCTGGCTGGGTGGCTGATTGACTTTGGCTGTCTCTGACTCTGTATCTCTGTGTCTCACAGGTACACATAAATACAGTTATTATACATAGTGTAAATTACTTAGGATAACCCAAAAAAAATCCAGACAAAGTGCTATCCTGTGCTTGTAGATGTAAGGCATAATAAGCATGAATGGCGAGTAATATGCTTTTTCACTTGTTCAGGAATCAGACCTGATGACTGCATCGTGCATAATACCTGTTGGTTCATGAGTGGCTCTCTCTCTGAGACGGGAAGGTGGAGACGTAGGGGGCCTACTTGTTCCAACTACTGCCACATAGATTGCATTCCAGAAGAAGAATTTTGTTGCAGCCAGGTTGAAAATCTCAGAAAATTGAAGGATATCCATATTCCTGTGGTATATGTGGTATATGGTTCTACAGGAGGAAGGTTCAGAAGTACCTCAGGGACTCCTCTCCAAAGATCAAGACTGCCCTCTTGGGCTGTGTTGCAAAGTAGCAGCTAAGATAATCCATCACAGGGAAGCGCTTCATGAGCTCCTCAAATCATTAGAGACGCTTCAAGCTATTGTAGGTCAGTGCAAGCCTACATCAAGTGACATAAGCTGCTCAGCTGATGGTGACACTATTGACAAAGACTGGAAGTCCCACACTGAGTTCAACTCAGACGTAAATAACTGGTGGAATTCTGTCATCACTAAGGCCCCACAGATTGACAGAGCTCAAAACATTGCATTTGGGAATTCTAACACAATTCCTCTGACCATCACAGAGGGAACAGATCCTCTTCCCAGCAACGAAGCAAGCCTTAAACCTGTTAATTCTCCTACACCCGACATCTCTGCTTCAGCACCTGCCAGTACACTAGACAGTGCACATACCATCTCTGATCCTACACCTGCCAACACTTTTCCAACATCTGGCAGCAGTGCTTCATCGGCAAGTACTGAGTCAGGATTTTCTTCACCAGAGATTGGTGCAGTTAATAATCGAGGAACTATCACTTCACCTGAACACCTGCTGTGCCAAAGTACAAACAGCACCGACACATCTGTCAGAACTGTACAGGAGCATGGTAGAGGATGTGGAAGAGGAAGACATCTACAGTCATCTTGCCTTCCACCAACACAGTCCCAGTGGCAGAACCTGTGGACAAATCCAGCAAAACAGAGGAGGTGCAACAAATAGTCCACCCTCCCAGGCACCTAGGCAGTGCTCTCACTGTCGCCAGAAGGGGCACACCACTAACAACTGCCTGCGAGATACCAGGTGCAATTACTGCCACAAGAAAGAACATCAGGAGGACCAGTGTCGGAAGAAAAAGAAACTTGACAGACCGGACCACCTGTTTAGAGACCTGTTCTCGGAACAAACCAGCAGGATCTCTGAATTGGTGAACACACTCACACGTCACCCACTCGGCTACTCCTATCTCGGCCCAGCAGGTGGTATTGTGCCTTATACAAGACCACAGACCTATATCTCTGCAGCTGCCTCGGTGCCTTACCCCTCTCAAGGGCAGGCACCTTACATGCCTTACACACCCACCACGTCAAACTGAATACATCGTGAGGAGTCAGTCTATCAGCAACCTGTCGGCCAACATTAGAAGTTTCATTACTAATGTTGGAGAGCTCTCACACACAGTTTTGTGAACACTCGACGTCCCGACGTGATATCTGTTGTTGAAACATTTTAGGATGACAGGACTCCAGAAAATTTTACAAGAATTGCTGGCTACACCTCATGGATGAGAAGAGACAGGCAAGGGCAAGGAGGAGGTGTTGCTGTGTGCTTCTCTAAAAGTGTACATGCCCAGCACATTGGTGCTGCCATCTCTACTCATCTTGAAATGATGTTCTTCAAGCTATGCATAAACACTAGTATCTCTGTACTAGCATGTGCAATGTACAGACCTCAGTGGCAACATGCAGACCCCATCAACTTCCCAGTGGAAAATGTGGACTCCCTTCTGCCCCAACACAACTATCAACATATAATTGTTGGTGACCTCAACCAACACCTTATACATAGGGACTTTGATGACTTTCTTGCAGTATTTGACATGAGAAACTTTGTTGATTTTCCTACTCGCATCTCTGGCTCCTCTCGACCCAGTAGTGAGTGATCTGCCAGAAGGTATAGTCACTTGTCAACCCCTTGGCTACATTGGATCATCTAACCAGAAGACTGTTTTTACGACACTTAAGATTCCAACAGAATGGCGTGAGGAGTCCACACGCACATCCTGGCTATGGGAAAGAGGTAATTGGCCAGCCCTTTGCTCTGAGCTCACCACCACCGATTGGAATGCTCTTCTCCAAGGGGATGTTGACAACCAAGTGAAAGCCTTCACTGGACACATCCTTAATCTACAACAAGAACACATTCCTCACCGGCAATGTGACGAAGCCTACAGATCAGCCTTGGTTTGGCCTTCATTGTAGAGAGGCTGCTACTGCTAAGTACAAGGCATGGCAAAAGTATGAGAGTCATCCTACCTCCTCTAACAGGAACTTGCACAGGCAAGCCTGTAGGCTTGTGGGTAATGTTCAAAAGTGGGCCATTGCTAAATGGGAGGTGGACACAAAAAGAAAGCTAGCATCAGGTAGAGTAGGCTCCAAAACCTGGTGGTCCCTGGTCAAGGACTGATAAGGTTATCTGCCTGATGAACTCATTCCACCTCTAATCTACAGGATGGGACCACCTCTACTAGCAGTCAAGAGAAAGTAGACCTCTTTGTTGAACACTTTGCTACCAAAATGCAAGTTCCTGATCCAGCAAGGGACCCTCCTTGGCTAGATGCAAGAACTGTGTCAAAACTGTCAGCAAGCAAGCAAGATAGCCAGCCACCTTGATACCCATCAATTACACAACCCAGGGCAACACAGGTTTAGAGCAGGTCGCTCCTGCCTGTCCCAGCTACTGGACCACTATGACAAGGTTCTGGATGCTGTAGAGGATAAACAAAATACAGATGTAGTATACACAGACTTTGCAAAAGCTTTCGACAAGTGTGACCATGGTGTAATAGCACACAAAATGCTGGATAAAAGGAATAATGGGAAAACTTGGTAGATGGATCTACAACTTCCTGACAAATAGAACACAGAGTAATAGTAATGGTGAAAAGCTCTGTTCCACAAGGCCCAGTGCTCGATCCCATTCTATTCCTCATCCTCATTTCTGACATAGAGCTGTAAGCCATAGCTCTGTGTCTTCCTTTGCGGATGACACCCGGATCACCGTGGCAGTGACCTCCATCGAAGACACTGCGAGACTCCAAGTGGACATCGATCAAATCTTCTAATGGGCCACTCAAAACAATATGAAGTTAAACGAGGAGAAATTTCAACTACTCAGATATGGAAAACTTGAAGAAATTAAAAATGTGTCAGGGTATACCACAAATTCTAACCA